ATCCCTAATTAATCTCATATTTGATAATCTAATGCCAAATTAGATTTATATATTTATTTATTATTATTTATTTATTTAATAATATATCATCACATACAACCATAATTATATTTAACTATAAATATTTAAATGGTATTTAATTAAACGTTCAGGGTATCACACCGTTCACATGGAAGTAGTTACTTCAAAAAGCATGTTCAAGAAACTTATGGGATCAATGTGTCCTTTGTATCTTCAGGACAACCCATCTCCACCGTCTATTCACAATCCCAAGTCCATGTTCACAAAATTTGAAGCCGATATATATCATCATGGTTGCCACAACATTGGTATTCTTCAAGCTTTGTTGACAGCATGAACCAATATGGATCGATAACCAATCTCCAGGAACTTGAGAAGGGATTGGACAGTCCATATGCTTCGGCAACCAATCTCTAGAAGCTTGATAAGGGATCAGACAGTTGATATGCTTCAACGATTAATCTCATGACACTTGATTCGGAATGAGAGAGTGATGAGGATGAGGATGAGGATGAGGAAAAGAATGGTGGGATTAATGGTAATAATCAGTGTTATTAAAAGCGATTAGCGCACCAAGTCGCCAAGGTCTCCTGAGGCCTTAGGCACAAGGCGAGGCACGGGCTTCATCGAATTAAGGTGCACCATGGTAGGTTGAAATAATATAATTTAATATGAGACATATAAGCAAATAACTAACTGGTATAACATAAACAAAATGAAACATTGAATATTTTAAAAAATGAATACCAACAAATATCGTTATTTTAACATAGACAAATGAGTAATATTCCAAAGTTCAATATAAAACACGAATATTCATGATCTAAAGGTCAACTAAATCATAAAAGTAAAGAAGGAACAGAGCAATTCAAAATAAATATTTAACAAACAGAGCAATCCAGAGAAGAAAATAAAATAAAAAGAAGAAGAAAAGTGGAAAATAAAAGCAAAAGAAAAGCAAAGAAGAAGAAAAAGAAGAAGAAGACATCATGGATATATTTGAAGTCTTAAAAATCTCAGTTCAGCCTAACTCTATAGACAAAAATAGAGCATTCCAAAAAGTAAACGAAAAATAAGAAGAAGGCAGCATGGGAAAGAGAACAAAAGAACAAAAGAACAGACAAAAAGAAGAAAAACATATCTGCACATTCGAAGCTCTTGGACTGGACGACGAGTTCGACTTCTTCGGAGCTTTGGATTAGGGCTTGTTTTTTCTTCTATCGTTTGTTGATTTGGGGCTAAATCGACAATATTATCATGTATATTTGAAGGATATGATCAGCTGCAGTTGACCTGTGTAATTTCAGTGGTCCAATTTGAATAAAAAAAAAAAAAAACCCCTCAAGGCCTGCACCTTGTTCCAGTCACGCGTTTTAATTGCGCCTTAGTGAAGACACCTCGTCTTGACCATTGCAAGGCTCAGGGGGTAGGCATGGCTAGGCCTTGCGCTTGGGAATGCTTTTAATAACACTGGTATTAATAATGGAGGAGATGAGATGATTGATGCAAAGGCTAAGGAGTTTATCACTCAATTTTACAATTAGGGTATGGGTGGAACTAGAATTTTATCATTGGAGGAGTCAAAAGAATAATAATTTTTTTTTCACTATATACACAAATACACATGTATGTACAATATGATATATAAATTATATATATATATATAGAAAAAAAATTATATACAATAAAAGCAATCTCTAATAAGAAAAAGAATTTTTTTATACAAAAAGAATGATATATATATATATATATATATATATTAAAGTGTATATATTTTTAAAGTACTATAACAAATAATATTTTTCATAAAAACAAAGAGTTATGGCTAGAGGTGTAATCGGTTCGGTATGGTCGATATTTAGGTAAAAAATTACACCGAATCGATAATGTTGGTTTTATTATTTTGAATACCGATACAGACCGCTTCTCCCATCAAACCACACCGCACCGAACCAATTGAAAATATTCGGTTTGGTGTAGTTTAACCGGTTTAGAATTTTTTAAACTTGAGTCACTTTTAAATATAATTATTAATCTATATAAAAACATTAAATTAGTTATTTGTCTACCATTTCAAATATATCCAATCTATCCATTTAATACATACTTTTCAATTCCTAAATTAACAAAAATAAAAATAAAAAAAATTAAAAATACTAAGGTTTCAAGAATAAGAAGTTAGAGTTAAGATTATATTTAATAAGAATTTACAAACTTAAGTTATAAAACTGATAAGATTAATAATTTATTATACTTATTAATATCATTATATTATTAAATTATATACATATTGTAAATACAATATATGTTGAAGCAGTCAGTTTCGGTTTAGATTGGTGCACAAGGTGCTTAAATCGATATCGAACCAAAAATCGAAAAAAATCAAATTTAAAAATCACACAGACCGATTCTTGTAAAAAAAAATAAACCAAATATAACCGATTTGGTCCAATTCAATCAATTTGATCAATTTTTTCGATTTTTCTTGCCTCCGTGAAGTTGGTTTTGGTGGGTTAGGGGCTAAAATAGCCACAAAAAACAAAATAAGCTATTTTAACCATAAAAAATAAAACATCAAATCTAACCCATAATCATTACTAGGGGTGTGCGCGGTGCGAACCAAATATAACCGATTTGGTCCAATTCAATCAATTTGATCAATTTTTTCGATTTTTCTTGCCTCCGTGAAGTTGGTTTTGGTGGGTTAGGGGCTAAAATAGCCACAAAAAACAAAATAAGCTATTTTAACCATAAAAAATAAAACATCAAATCTAACCATAATCATTACACTCATCTGTCACAAAAAAAGTCAAAAAAGTCAAAAAAGTAAAAAAAACCCTTCCTAAACTAGATTTTTTAACCCAAATTAAAATAACTAAAAAATTAAAAAACTAAAAAATCAACCCACTTCCTAAACGGAGGCCTATAATCTTCTCATAATTTTATCTGAGTAAGGCTTCAGCACGAGACATTTGTTTGAGCGTTATTGATGATGATGATGATGATGATGATGGCAATGGCAATTGCACTGAGTGAGGCTTCTTTTAGCAACCCCAAAACAAGTCATCTCCTTTTCGAATTTTTTTATCCTTAGTAATTTTTAAAAAAAAATTATATCAAAATTTTTTATTTTTTCAATCTATTTTGTTGAGATAAATCTAAAAATATATATTTTTTTGAAAATTTCGGAAAAAAATTGAAAAAACCAAAATAAGCAAAAAAAGATTGCTTATTTGTTTTTTCTGATTTTTTTTTTTTAAAATTATAATTTTTCAGTTCGTCTTGTCAAGCTGAATTTAGAAACCCAAATTTTTTTGAAAATAAAAATAAAAATTACTAAAGACAAAAATAAGCAAACTCCAAAACAATCCTAAGTGTAGTCACAAAATCGAACACAGAATATATACGAATCAATAAGATTAATTAGATGTGAATTTCATTAATAAATTTTGTGAAATCCTATTTACTCATTTATGTTTTGTGATTAGTTTGTCTTGGTAATCTAACACATTTTTTGTGTGTGTCCCATTTATGGTAAAAAATGCTTGGGTGTGGGAAAAATTCTATTACAATAAAATTTATACAAAATATAATTAAAATGGTGTAACGTTGAGACAGTTTTATAGATGTTTTGTTTCAAATTAAATGATGCAAGTTCAATTATTTTATTTTATAAAAAAATAACTATTTACAAATTTCATAATTTTATATGATATTGCTGCCATTCTACTCCCTACCAATGAAGGAGAGGAAATTTTAATGGGTGAAACAATTTTGACCTTTTACTAAATAATTGAGAAATAAAAAATTACTCACTATAAATAAGAAATTACCCACTTAATATATTTGTTATTCTTGATAATATTCATTGCTATTACTTATCATGTGATGTTATTTTGTTGTTTACATCACGTCTTAATAGTTCATTTGGAAAGAAAAGAAGTGTGCAAACAAACAAACAAAAAAAAAAAAATTGAAAAAAAGAGGAAAACGGCTTTTGGGTGCATAACTGTTACCGTCGTACTCCAAAAAAGTTATTCCAAAAGTTATCAGATAGTTAAAAAAGTGAATAAAAAATAAAAAAATAAAAAATAAATAACATAATGTTATGATGAACAAAACAAGCCACTAACATTTTGGAAAAAATTATTTAATATTCTGAAAGTATCATGTGTTTGTACTCCTAACTGTTACCGTCGTACTCCAAAAAAGTTATTCCAAAAGTTATCAGATAGTTAAAAAAGTGAATAAAAAATAAAAAAATAAAAAAATAAAAAATAAATAACATAATGTTATGATGAACAAAACAAGCCACTAACATTTTGGAAAAAATTATTTAATATTTTGAAAATATCATGTGTTTGTACTCCTTAATCAATTATTATTTAATATGTCTCTTTATATTTTTCAATCACCAAACATAATATCACACATACCCAATTTTTTCATCAATTATACTACTATAAAATACTACTATAAAATACTACATGTCCATATTTCGGAATTACTGAATAATTATCCAACATTTTGACGAACAAAACAAGCCACTAACCTAATGTTTTTATCTTGGATTTGTAATTAGAATGAAAAATGAAAAAGAAATAAGTTGCTTAAACACACTTATTTTTTCTTTTATAAATAATCAAATAAAAGAATTATTAAATTCTTTCATTCATGTTTTCCTTTTTTTTTTCTTTTTTTTCTTTTTTCATTTTCATCAACAAATCTAAAATCTAAAAAAGTGAATTGGACACAAAATGGACAATAGTTTTTTAAAAAAATAAAATTAAATTAAAGTAACTATATAACGCATAACCGCAAAGAAAAATTAAAAAAAAATGGCCTCATTTTCTCCAAAAACAGCAAACAAAAATTAAAAATCAAAAATCAAAATCAAAAATCAAAATCCAAACAAATCGCCGTTGGTTTTCGTTGTCCATCTCTATCTCTATCTCTATCGCTGTCGCGAAGCTTAGATTTTAGAAGCCATGGACAATCTCAGAGCACTTGTTCTTGATCCAACGCAAACCATTCCTGATAGAAGCTTTAACCCTCCCTTCAATTGCATACACTTTGTACTTGGCTATTCGCTTTCGTCTCTTCATCTCTGGATCGTTGAATCCCCACGGCTTCGACGCCGGCGCAGCCGAGCTCTGACTCGTCCCATTCACGCGAGGCAGATCGGCCGGTGATCGAGGCATGTACGTCTGGTTGGCGCCGCCAAAGCTTTTCCCGCTCACAATCTCAAGCCGCCGGTCGCCGCTTCCGTACCGGAAACCCTGCCTGAACTCGTCCATACCTCATCGATTCCATAGGCTTGTTCAAGCTTATACAATCAATAGTGCTAAGGTGGTTCTCATCAAGTAGAGGCCTCAACACAGGCAGTTTAAAGGGTCTGGAAACTATTGCACTTCTTGTGATAGAAGCCTCCAAGAACCTTACATCCATTACTCTCTAGGGTGCCAGGTGGACTTTGTGTTGAAACACTACAAGGACCTCTCTCCTTTCATAAGAAAATGCAACAAGAAGAATATAGAAAACACAGGCACTGATTTCACTCTTCTCTCTCTCGGGTTGGTTCTCCACACACACTCACCACTTTATCTCTCTGTACTCTTTGTCACCCATCAAAGAGCACATGCATATGTGTGTTGTTTTTTCTCTCTCCCATGTGACCCACTCTCCAACCTATAGTTTTTCTTTTTTATTCTTTCCTCACACTCCTGTTCCCCATTCCACTTTCTTTTCTTTTTTTTTCTTTCTATTTATTTTACTCCATCTTTTGAAAAGCAACCGAAACATCAACTGGTTTGCACACCCATCTACACATATTTTTATCTATTTTTTTTTATCCATTATTTTATTTTATTTTATTTTTATTCTTAAACAAACCCACAACATTCACCCAACACTTTTTCTTTTACTACTTTGTTTCTTTATTTATTTATTTATTTATTTATTTATTTTTTGAAAGCAATGAATTTAGGGTTCATAATTGGGCCTTAGGCTTTCCAGATAGATACACATAGATAAAGTATATTTAATTATAGGAATTCAAATAAAATACTGTTAACATCACGCCAGAACTTTAGCTGTAATGCTGCGTCGTGTTGGCTTGGCGGTCTCTCAACACTTGATGGGTTGCTTTTTTTTTTTTTTTTTTTTTTTTTTATGGATTGTGTGCTTCATTGACATTCAAATTTTTTTTTTCTTCTTTTCCCCTGTTGACAGCCTCATTGTAATCTGGATTTATTAAATATTCTGTATTATTAATTTCGGCTGTTTCACATTTTAATTTTCCGAATTTTTATTTTTAATTTTTGGAATGTATTGATTTGTTATAAAGAAAGTGATGTATAAGCATATTTTTTATATCTATTTTCTTGATCAAATGATGCGTAAGTAATGTAATTGGTTGATAATTACAAAATAAATGATGATTATGAAAGACATGAGAAAGTATTGTCTTACATTATTGGGTTTTAAAATATAGATTTAATTTTTAGACAATCAATAGCAATGTTCTTGTTATAATAGTGGGGCCTCGTTTGGGAACTAGCTCATTTAGTCAAAAAGTTATTAAAAAAGTCAAAAAATTAACAACTCATACCAAAAAGTCAAGATTCTATTTTCTCTCTACTTTTTGTACATCTTTTCGTAAGAATTTAAAAAGTCATCCCAAACATATTAATTTTTTTTTTAGCTCATATTTTAGCCAAATAGTCAAAAAATTACTAAATTAACCTGTTCCCAAACGAGGCCTGAGTTGTCGCATATTTTTAAAATTTATTTATTTATTTATTTATACTTAGGATCAACTTTTATTTATTTTTATGAATTTGTTCGTGTTGGTTTTAATGCTGAGTTCCACAAATGTAGCAATTTTTTTTTTTTATTTTAATTAACGAAAGAAGAAGATTTTGTTGATATTCAGAAATTATAGAAGAAGTACTTACATCAATTAGGCAAGGTGATAAAATGTAGCACAATTTTAACATGTTTTTATTGGCCATCTACTCACTTAAACCTAAAGAACTGTAACTAAATTTTTTCTTTGCACTATTCAAAGGGAGAAAACTGGAAAATAAAATGAACAAAAAATATTGCATGTGACTGAATTTTTGTAACGATTTATGTCATTCCCTAATTTATGCATTGTGATTGTTTTCATTTTTCGAAGAAATTTAAATTGTATGAGGAACAAATTAAGAAGTGTAATTAAGTAATATGCATAAAACAACCTTAAAAATAATAACTAAAAAATTGTAGCACTTTGGCCAAATTCAACCGCTGCTAATAATGCCTATATATCCATTTGAGTCAATTTAATGGAATCATCAACAAAATTGAAATGCATGTTTATTTATTATTCTCTTATCAATACTGATATGTGACTTCAAATTTATTACGCTGACTATTTTTTTTAAAAAAAATAAAATAATAATCAAGTTAGATAAAATCATGATCAATTTAAATTCTTTAAAATTCAATGGATTCTCAATCAAAACTCATTTTGAAAGAGAATTGACATGGCCATCTCAGATTAGGCTACTTCTAGAAATCACCATTATTGTGCTTTCATTGCACTAATGTATGCTAGCTCCAATGGCAAAGTGGGGAAGAGAGGTTTAGAAGAAAAAAAAAAATTGAAAGACAATTTTATTTGCAATAAGGTTAACTGTCAACCAGAGGGAGGGAGATTTAGATGAAGATTGAGATCCAAGTCCCCCGAAGTCGATTTACAAGATAAATGACTACCGTAAGATACAGCAGCAGCAGGGCCACTGAGGCCACCAACATGCAGCGGCTGTCCGATATAAATCGGAGTGCCTAAGTTTGAAGGCAGTGACGGCAGAAACGCTGGCGGTGGAGGCGGCACCACCGCAAAACGAGCGGCGGCAGTTGATGATGATATCATTGCATGGGAGCTCAGAAGCGGCGCAGCAGCAACAGATGCCATGAAGTGTCGATGATTGTCGTGGAATTGAGCAAGTTTCATTCTCTTTCGCTCTCTCTTGTGTGCGTTTTGGTGACCTCCTAGTGCTTGAGAGTTTCCGAATAATCGTCCGCAATATTGACACTCGAATCTCTTGTTTTCTCCGTGAAATTCTGTTCTCTCTGCAACTTCATCATTGCCTTGATGATGATTAGTTAGCTCAAAACCGAATAACCTGAATGCTGAAGCCTCTCTATGAATAGATGCACCGTCTGGAGATATGTCCTCTGAAGCTAAATTGGATGGGATAGAGCTTTCCGCCATTAGGCAGAGAGGGGGAGAGAGAGAGAGAGAGAGAGCTGGAATTTATGAACCTAAATGCCTTACATTAATTTATAAGGATCAATTTTGTCTATGTTGATGATATTTGTATGCCAAATAGTATTATTTATCATTTCATGATTGTGATTTTCATGTAAGTAATGTGTCTTTAGAATTATAAAATAAATTTTTAGAATAATGCAGTAACAATAATATGTTCCTGTCATTATAAAAATAAAAATTCATTACAGGTGTAAAATTAATACAATAATAACACATTATATAATTGACTTAACTAATGACTTGTAACGATGAGAAAATTTTATTTTTCTTTTCAAAAAGAGGTATTGAAAGTGTATTTTGTTTTTGGGACATGAATTCAAATTTTATTTCTCAAATACACAGTTACGTCCAAACAACAGCTAAACTATAACAATGGTCACTAAAAGGTTATAACTTCTTTTGATGTTAATCAATTCTTAGTTAAAAGTGGAAGCTACAAAGAAGGCGACAGTATTTGTAATCACATGCTGTCACTCTTTCTTTATTTATCTTTGCTTCCAAGTTTTTCACGCATGTGCAGTCTCCGTAATCTTCACTTGTAACAGCGACCCTTCATCTAGCCAATCCACTGCAGAAATTATTTGATGTTTTGAAAAATTGCTTGGAACTATTTAATTAGGGACATTTTATTTTAGAAAATGATATAAAAGTTCACTTTTTAAACTCAATAATATATAAGTGATATGATTAGTTGATGATTAAAAAAATTATAAGAGAGAGTGCTACTTTAATATTTTAATTGATTACCACATCATTAAATTTAAAAAATATATCATTTTAAATAGTAATGCTCTTTCATTTTTTATTTATTGTATTATAAAAGAGGCATAAAAGTAGTAGTTTCTATTATTTTATTTTAGTCACTTTTATTTTATTTTTTGTTGATTTTTTTTTCCTGGCATTAACGATTGTTTGGTCACTTGATCCTTTCTCTCGCAAACTATATGCTTGTCAACTACAAGTACAACGGTCCACATTATGTTCATCCGGACCATTACCAAGTGGTAGCTTTATTGCTTGGTTCCTATCCTCGTACTCTTGTACTCCCCCTGTCTATGATTAAACTGGTGTCTCATTATTATTGGACGAAGAAGGGGGCCCTAGGCATAATTTGATTCTTTGGTGATTCTTTGGACTATAAAATCAGCAGATAAACTAGTGTACATATTAGCCACAGATGAGTTTCACGTTCAAAATTCATATACGATTTTAGACACCTGAGGTTAAAGGGGAAGAAATTGAAGTCACGACTGTATTTCAAGGCAAGTTATTATGTGTAGCTATTGATAACATAATTATATATTGATATTGACATTAAATAGTATCAATTAATATATCGATGAATAATAATATTAAAAAATTAGAATTTCTACAATATCTAACTATTGATAACACGTATGTAAAAGGGATTAAATTCTCTTTGAATCGTGCTATTTAGGTTTATGGGATCTATCACGGGTCTTGTTTCGATAATTAGAACTGTTCAATGTATAATGTTCATCGAGTATTTTATGCTTGTAAAAAATCATATTAATCGAATATCGATAGTTACTTGATTGGATCAAATTTTTTGTAATAATTTATTTTGAAAATCATATTTACCGTTGACAGAAATATGATTTGATCAAGTAATTATCGATACTCAATTAACGCGATTTTTTTATAAAAATGAAGTACTTGACGAGTTCTACATATTTCACGGTTCGAATTATGAAAACAAAATTCGTGATGAGTTTTCACAAAAACAATAACACCTTCCGATTCAATCTTAAACTGTAAGAAAAGCTTAACTTATTTAGAATCAACTCATATGGTGACACGTTCTAGTACCATATTAGCTTCTTGACAAGACAATACTGTGTCTGCCACTGGCTTTGTGCCAGACAGATATGCAACCCTCATCCGCGTGGAGGATTTGATGATGGCCTGTGTCTCCCATGATCCAAGCTCGAATGACAGCCCCTGCTTAATCTCTTCTACCTCAATAAGAATCCACTCAAATGCCTCGTGATATATTTACTTTTTTTTACTTATTATAAAATTAATTATATTTTTAACACAATTTAAAGAAAAAAAATGATACTCGCCCAATTTAAGATAATTGTGTTCGGTTATATTGTCAGTTTCTCTCTTTCAGAACTTATGTTTGATATGTTTTGAGAAATCCTGTTAATATTCACTCATGGAATAATGCTAGAGCTAGGATTGCAAATGAACTGACTCGAGCAGGGTTTTGTTGAGTTCGAGATTGACTCATTTACTTATCGAGCTCGTTTATTAAACTCGAGTTCGGCTTGATAAATTTTTTTAAATATTATTTATATATTAAATAATATATTTATTATATAATTTAAATAAAGATAAAAGAGCCGAACTTATGCAAGCTCGATCTCGGTTCATTTACTAAACAAGCTTAATATTCGAGCTTGAGCTCAACTTGTTTATTAAACGAACCGAGCCAAGCCGAGTCGAGCCCTTAACGAGCCAAGCCGAGCTTGTTCATAAATAGTTCGGTTCATTTGTAGCCCTAGCTAGCGCACAAAATTTCAAACCTCAAAAAAAAAAAAAAATTAGTCTCAATATAGTTATATCATATGAGATCATACTTAAAATGAATTTAAATTATACATTATTTTTCTAATATTTCTTTATATTTGAGTTTTTTTTGTGTCTAACACTATTGCTTACTCAAAACTTGAACAAATATTAAAGTTGCATGTTATCGGATAATATTACTTAAAATTAACATTCTTGTTATAAATGAATCAAATCATATAATTTTTACTATCATAATATGAGATTTTTTTTTGTTGATTGATAATAGCATTGTTGTTATATCTAATATTTGCTATTCAAACATAATTCACCATAAATGTGATGAAGATCCATCTAATATATGATTATGTTTGTACAAAATTTGAACAGCGAAAATTAAAAACTTTAACGAGAAATTGTTACTATTTTGCATTGGTTAACGAAGGTTTGACTGTAATGGCGCACAAGTTAGAATAATTTTAGAACTGTCACAATTTTGTTTGTTTTAATGGTCTTAATAAGTTTTAAATTTGACTTTTCTTAATTTTTTAAATCATCAAAAAAATTTAGATTTAAAATTATAAACTTATCAAGTCAAGATATAATTAAATATTTTATAAAGGGCTAGTTTGACAAGTCCAAAATAATTCAAAAAGTAAAAAAGTCATTACTATTCACAAATAAAAAATATTAAAAAAATATTTTATATATTTTTATAATATAAAAATTTGATGATGTTGTCAGGAATGACATTATACACTTTTTAGGCCAAAAAAAAATTACATAGGTAAAAGCACAAAGTTTGATGCTAATGTTGGATCCTTAGGGGCCCACTAATGGTTCTGTTTTGATAATTTGAACCGTCATATGTAGAACTCGTCGAGTAATGTATGCCTGTAAAAAATTACATTGATCGGATATCGTTAACTATATGATCAAATCAGTTTTGTATAAACAAAACGGATGGTATGATAGTTAACTGTTGAAAAAAACTAATCCGATCGTATAGCTATCGATATCCGATTAATGTGATTTTTTACAGGCATATAATACTCGACAAGTTGTACATATTTAATGGTTCAGATTATTAAAATGAGACCCATGGTGGCCCCCACAGACCGACCATCACTGTCCAAACACTTTGTCCCAAAGGAGGCAATTATTTTCTGGATAAGACATGCTAGGCAGCAGGCCAGCCGTATAACCACTCATCTTTCTTTCATTGTACACTTTATTTATATAATTTTTTATTACACATTTTTTTGTAAAAAAGACAAAAAATTAACCAAAACTTCCATTTTTTTCCCCTCAACTTTTTAATTCAAAAAGACAAAAATTATACTTATTTAGGACACCCCAAACAATCCCAAAGTGTACAAAACATTTGATATGAGCATCATTTCAATCAAGTACACATTTTTGTCATTTTTTAACTATTTCTATACGACTGTTGATTTCAAAATTACAATTTCCTTTCAATTTTTGACAACACATCATCGTTAACTACATAGATACACGAACAAACGAATGAAAAAAAGCTATCTTGATTTTCAACATAGTATAGAACAACAAACTATGACATGAGCAGATTTACCGTGATTGCTTTATAGGATCTTGAGACATCAAAGTACAATGATAACGGGACTCTCTCTCTCTCTCTCTTAAAGTTGTTTGGAATAATTTAAACAAATATATTTTTTAATTTTTTTACAAAAAAAAATATAAAAAAAATAGAGAAATAATATGATCTAAATAAATATACTTATCTAAATTAATATACTTATTTAATTTATGCCAAATAATACCTCAATGCAAGTTCCCTCTCATTTTTTCATTCCGATATTTTATTCTTTACTGTGGGAAACCAATTAAAGAAAGAATAATGCTTGGGACCCCCTTTTGGGGTCACCCCCTCACCCCCCCTTTGCCACGTGGTGGGTGGTGATTGGAGGAGCAGGAAAAAAAAGAAAAAAAAGAAAGAAAATGTAACCAATGAAAGAGAGAGGGGGTCAAAGGGGGTGGAGAAAAAATGGGGGATGAATCATTGTTGTTAAAGAAAAGCTTCCCACTTTCTATGGAGGGCAGAACAGCCTATGTATAATGTACCTGCAACTGGCCTCCCTATCACTGCTCCCCAAACTTCTCTTTGCGATTAATATAAAGATTTTTTTGATCGATAAGAAGAATTTTTTTTTTTTATTAATGATGAGAAGCAAATACATGAAGAGGTTCAGTAAGAGATAATGTTTGTTTTGCATATGTCACTTTGTGGTGAAAAAAGTTATAACTTTTATGATGAGAAAAGTTTTGAAAATAAGAAAATTATTTGCATTTGACGTGAAAAATAAGTTCATGAAATTTTTGATATTTTATTATTTAATTGAAATGAATTATTCTCTTATTTGTAAATCGATTCTCGTTGTATTAATTTTTACGTGTTTGAACTAAGCATAATAGACACATATATTATTAATTATGAAATTTGTTAATATTAAATTACATAACAAAATATTTTTCTAACAAGTTCATTAGTCACATTATGGAGAAATAAAAAATGTTTTCATTCCCAAAATTAAAATCTTGAATCTGTCTACATTTCAACATGCATGGCCACAAATACAATAAAGATCAGCACTACTACTACTATTATTATTATTATTATTTTATTTTTTAAATTAGCAAAACCACTGTAGTGTGTTCAACATGCACATGTTTTGTCACGCCACTATTTTATTACTAATGATTTATTTTTCCTATTATCACACTTGCTTTTTGTTTAAAAAAAATTATTTAATCCATATCACTAATTGATACCTGTAAGAGGGGCTAATTTGAGCCTACTAAAATTATTTAGGCCTAATAGCCCAAGATTAGTGAGCCCGAATTTATCGCAAGTCCAAGAATCGGTGGGCCTAGATTTATCGCCATCAAACGGATTGAATCGCTCTAAGCCTCGAAAGGGTTCGGATCCACGAACCTAGAGACTTACTCGGGCCCGGACTCGAAAGGGTATTAAGCAAGCCTAGAGATCCGAGGCACTCGGACTCGAAAGGATTCGGATCCACGAATCTAGAGATCCGAAGTACTTGGCTTCGAACGGATTTAGACGCAATCTAGAAGTCGCTCCGTTAATGAGTCTCAGAACACTTGCGGGCTCGGAGCTTTCCGGGATCTACGCACCAGAACCATGGGCGTAATGGAGTTCGAACAAAGGACCCGATCCCGAGGACGGTGAGTGGAGATAAATTCACTCTTCGGTTAAACTAGCCTATACCCGAGTCGAGGTGGCACGACCCCGGGGGGTCCATGAGACTCGGCAATATTTTGCGGCAGGACGTCCTCTGGGACTACCCCTGACCCTTTGGGATGATTGGGGATCATTGGTTAGGTGTGGCTAAGAAGAAGGGTTCGCCGAGGGATTGATCTCCTCTTCGGGGTTTTCTCATCCTCGGAGAAGTCACCTCCTCGGAGAGGTCACCTCCTCGGACAAGGTGGTTAGAGAGAATATCCCCCATGTGCCTTGCACATGGGCTCCATCCTACATCATGAGGTGCCTATAAATAGCACCCACCCATAGCTTTACAAGGGATGGATTTTGGAGATTTTTGAACTCTTGGGAAAGAACTAATTTCCCTTCTCCATTATCAACCTTGAGAGTGAAAGTGGGAGATCCATGGGAGAGCCTTGCCATTATTCTATTCTCTAGCCATTTTGCCTTCTTTTTCACCCAATCTCTTATCTCCATCATCTCCTTTGTTGTTGTGTTCCTAAGTTGAGATTATTGAAGAATCTAAGCCTCTCATCATATTCTAGGGAATTCGAAGTTGTTCTTCAAGAATCTTCGAAGATCTTTGAATTTTCCAACTCTTTTCTTGAACCCTCTCCTACAATACCAGAGCATATTCATTAGAGATGTTGAAAAATAATGTATTATATTAACATGTTAACACAGGCTAAAATCCACACCCCACCCAATAAACTGCTTACTCCTTGCTTAATGTCTATATGTGTGCTTCAATTAACTAGCTAAACAACCCCTAATTAATTTTGAAATTGGGTTTAACTATTTTTTTTTTGAAAGATGTGAGGCAAAATAATATCATTTGAATCCACCATGGCTACTAGTTTAATGAATAATTATATTTTAATTAGCATGTATACTATAATAATCATATTTTGTACCATATTATATTTATCATTTCAGTGTATGAGATTAATAAATCCTATGACTGACAATTGTTACTAATACAATACAGTGGGACTGTTTGTTATAGTTTTTGCAAAAATAACTTTAAATAAGCTGATCATTTGAAAGCTGAGGTAGGAGTATTAACTTCTACTTTTTAATTATCAACTTTTAATTTTAAAAAAATTCTATCAAATAGGGCCAATATATCTTAACTTAAATGAAACAGGCCAAACCGATTAAGTTTTGACCAATATTTAAATGTGGGTTATGTGAGACAATTGGGGTTGGGTTCAAAAGATATTTATGACAGAAGATAGCCCAATCCATTCAATTCGGGGCAAGCCCAACTTCCATTCCAACATCAGCCATACAACAACCACTATTATTACGGTTCGGGTCCCCCGAAACAGACGTCCAAGTCTAGGGCTCGTCTAGTCTAATTTACGCCACCTGGTCGACTAGAGGACGCACACTTGCAATGCCAGCCGTTTATTTCTTGGCGAAGTTCCCAGATCAACAACTGCCCTTAAAGCCAGCCATTGCACCAAACCGATCCAACGGCTGATGGACTCGCCCCGTGCGCACGATAATTCCGTGTATCCAAGAGGCGCACGATAGTGTTCCTCCGTTATAAAAGAGTATCGTTCCCCATGGATGCGCGTTGTTCCTCCTTCCTCATCATTTTCAATCTTTCTTTCCCAATATTTTTCTGTTGAAATTTCAACCTGTTTCTCTCGCTATTTGATTTGAGGTATGAATTGAATTGTAGTCCTTAATTTTCCTTTATTTTCTCGTCAATACATTTATTTAGTTTCCCGAGAAAATTCAGTGTCCTCATCGTAAAGCTGATTGATGAGCATTTGGTTCTCGTCTTTCAGGGTTAGGGCATATGGCGTTGCTTTTTCTGTTACGGAACTGTGATCTCACGACTTGTTGATTGATCTGAAACGATCCTTCTTCTTTGCGAAAATGTTTCCCAGATATGGTTTCAATGATCTGACCGAAATTGGCTCTTCTTAAGTAAGTTGATTTGATCGAATTGGTTCGCACTCAGAGTTGTTTCAATGAGATATGAATTTTTCAGAGAAAAAGTGGGCTTAAAAGTATTTGAACACTATCAATTTTGATCCATTCAATTATCTGCGTATATAAGCTGCACATTTGATCCAATGAAACACATTGTCAATTTTTCTAGGTGTAAGCACTTGTGTGTTCTATGTTATTGTGTAATGGTTTTAAGACAAAAAAGACTAGACTAGGGTCCTATTCCGGCATCATTTGGACAATCTCTTCAATTAGATAATAGTGGGAACTTCTTTTAGATGGTTTGTCTGTCTTGTTTTATTTATTTATTTTCTTAGAAAAACAATTGTTAATGCCAGGACACATGAGTAGCACAAACACAGACACATGACATGAAATGGACACACCGTTGGTTTTTGAAAAACGCTACACATGACATGCTTGAACATGTTAAAATTTTACATTTTTACAAATTACTATTTGTGATATATAGTTTATTCAAAGATAATGAAACATTTGTAACATAACAAAAATTAAATATTTTAAAACTTGAACATTAAGATATCTTTCATGTAACAATTATATTTTA